TTTTTTTTGTAATTGACTTACCATTTTGCAGTTTAAATCTTAGCTTTTATTTGTTCTTTTTATTCTGTTTTTTTTGTTTTTTTTTTACTTTACGAGTTACCTGTCTCAATATAACTTAAAATAAATAAGCAAAAAACCTGTTTCTTTATAATTTTTTATACTGTATTTACAGGACTTGTCTTATAACACCTTTGTGATATTTCCAAACGTTGAGACGCTCGATTTGCGATGGAATAAACTGCACTCTATAAACGCAGAAACCTTTAACCTTCATAGGCTTCGACGGTTGCTTCTGGCTCACAACAATGTCACTGTAATCTCTATAACGGTTTCCGTTAAGCTTTTTTTCACCGTCAAAATCTTCTTTTGTTTTATACAATTATAAAAAATTTTTCTTTACTAAACTTACAGGTAATTACTAGATGTTTTTAATCTTAGTGCTCTTTCTCAACTGCAGCAGAAAGTAAGCTTTGTGGATTATATCAAAATGTAGCTTTAACTGATTATCTAACAGTATTACAAAGTCGTAGAGGTTTTTGGTTTTTTATTTAATTTCCTATTTATTAATTTTTTTGTAAAAAGACTTAGAGCAGTGGAGTTCTATAGAACTCCACTATTCTGATTTTTTGTCAAAATTTACACAAAAATTTCTGTTTCCAAGTATAATATACAAGTATTCTCCTTAAGTACTCATAATTTCTTCATTTATAAAAATGTATAAGTGAGTAATTAGTAGCGAGTTCTGCTTTATACTTAAATCTGAAATACAAATCTTTTTTTTTATCTAACTGTGCCTTATTTTCAGTTTTTGGCGAAAAGATTAATTTCTAAATTTTTTCGAAACACTCAGTAACCTTAGAATAACAACGGCGCACTTAGTGAGACTTTGATTTCTAAACTACAAACAGCTAAAAAATTTTTGCTTGAAGAAGTAACTAAAAATTTGAATAAAATTTTGTACTAAGATGTTTCTGAAAAAGGGAAAATTCTATAAAATTACTGTGCAATTCAAAGCACATACTCGAATTATTAATATTGAAGCAATAACTTTTATCGCTCTCTGCATACAAATTTTATGACTCTGTTTATATTTCTA